TTTTTTTTTTTTTTTTCTTTTTTTTTTTTTTTGGTACCAGAGATCAAACTTGGGACCTTGCCCTTGCAGGGCAGGCAGAGGAACCACTGAACTAAATCACTGGCCTGATAAAATATTTCTTAGGTAAAGATTAATATAAAAAGCTTCCTCCAGATTTTTTAAAAATTGTTGAAAATACATGCACAATCATAAAGCAAGCCCAAATAAGCCGTGTGATGTTTAAATTTTTTCATCTAATAAAAGTCATTACCAGCATGAGACTTTGCAAGGATGACAGATTTTATTCCAATAGTCATTGGAATGACAGCACCACTAGCAATCTGGGTAATTTACTGTAAACTACAAAGCTGCATCACATCTCTCAACAATGCAGATATGAATATTCTATCAAAAATCTTAATTGATTTTTGTTTAGTTCTCATATGTGTAGTAGCTTATAAAGTCACAGTGGAGGAAGCCTTATTTTCCTTTCTTCCTGGACATTTACAAGGTTGATATCAGCTGGCCCATGTGATAAAGAGTCACTGTCAGCTTCAGCAGAAAATGAAGATTTTTCTTCCATCAGAATGTTTGGGGTTGAGGTATTTGTTTTGCAAACTTACTTTCAAATCTGAAATATTTTCATTCTAAAATATTGTCCTTTTGAAAGAAGATATTTATTTAAGGATTAAACTTTCCAAAAATAGTGCAAATGTCAGTTTAAGATGAAAATCTCCTTGGGTGTGGAGTGTGTGTTTGTTTAGTGAGCTTATTTGAAATGTGAGTTGAATTACAGTAAACATAGAGATTTTCAAAACAAATTTTCCAAAGCACAAAATGGTCTGTGAACAACTTTTCACAGTGATGTATAAAAATCACTTTAGTGATTTTACAATGTCACTTAGAAATGTTTATGAGTGTGGCCATACTCTGCATGCCAGTTTTCCTGATAAAAGATAAATAAATACACGTAGCTCTTGCACTGTCAAATATAGTATTAAATTTACAATTGTTATTGCAATTGTGTGTGAAATAAATTCACATGCACAATATAAAACTCAAGTAGCCCCACAAAATAATGGCTACAGATAGCCAGAACTATCCTACCACTGTTCAATGTTATCTAAAAATACCCACCCCTAAGCCTGTCATTTCACTTCTCTCCTCATTTTTATTGAGGTATAACTGACAATTGAAATGTGTATATGTTTCAGGTGTGCACTTTGATTATTTCATATTTAAAAAAGCTAATTAACACAGTCATCCCACATCCCCTGTGTACGTGTGGCAAGACTGTGAACAAGGTACTCCTAGCAAATTTCAAGTAAATAATGTGATACTGCTAACTAAAATCACATTGTTGTACATTGGATCTGCAGAACTTACTCTTCTTTCATAAGTGTTTTAACTCCAATAACAACATCAGAGCACAAATACTTACTCATTCCCAGCTGGCTCTATTCAGCCACGTTTGCAAATATGTCTTGATTTTTGGTTATTTCATCACCAAATACATACACCATAAATTGGTGCATCACCTCTGATCTTCTCAGGGCTATGATATAATAGTTTCTTGAACTCAGTAGTCACAATTTATACCATTAGGACATGACTGTGATTCATATAAAAATCATTGCCAATGTTACTTCTTTGATTGCATCTCTTTGGTTCCCTTTTTCTGAAATTTCTTTTAGTTAGTTGCAAGACATACTGGATCTTTTAACTACATTATCATTACTTTTCTACTTCAAATGGCTTTGACTTTTTAAAAAACCTTATTTTACTCCATTTTGTTTACTTATTTGTGTAATTTTTTTTCTTTCTTTGTTCACTTTTTCTTTTTTCTATATTCCAGTTCTTGTAGTCTTTAGGTTGTTTTCTTAATTTGCTTCATATTCATCATTCGTTTTCATTCAGGAAATATCAAATGAGCCTGTTCTAGGTGCAAACACTTTATAAGCCTGGGCCATTCCAGTGTGAAAGAGTCACATCAACCCCAGGGGAGTTTGCATGGTAGAGAGGGAGAAGAAAGTAAGGAAAGGAAATTATATCAAGTGACCAAACTTAAGAAAAACAAAAGCAGAATTAGAAAAAGAAAGAAAGACTGTCTTCAAAGTTGGGGAATTTTGATCGACTAACAAAGTATTGAGGAGAGACCTCACTGGTAGGGGGTAAAGCAGCAATGTGAATCTCTAAGTGAAAGACTTCCTAGGTACTGGAAAATCAATTCTTTCTCACCTTGTGTCCAATCTGACACACCCACAGTGATACATTTTAAAATATTAAATATGTGTTTTACTTTTCCAGAAGTTTCATTTTATTCATATTTGTTTTTATTAGTGTGTCTTATATTTTTCTAACCACCTTTTAATGTTTTTAAACTAACTAAAATTAAAACCATTTATTTATATAGCGTGTTAGGTAATTTTAGTATCTGAAACCCCTGCTGGTTTGATTATACTAAATTTAAATTTTCTGTCATTTCTTATTTCCATGAGTGCTCAGTTATATTCTTATTCTCATTTTCTCTCTCTCACCTCCTCCTCCCTCCTTGATCCCCTTCCTGCCTCCCTGCTTCTCTGAGCTCATTTTTATCACCCAGGACTGTCCCCTGCCTGTGTTTGGGATGCCTGCCTTGAAGGCAAAACCAAAACTCACAGATCCTTTTTGGTCTTTTGTGGACCAGCAGGGTGAGTCTCCTGGCTGATTGTCCTTATATATTCTGGGCTGTGCCCATGTGACATGCTTTCCTGGTGTCCCTGACACCTCCCTCCACTGTCCCAGGCACTGCTCTGCCCTTCTGGACAGTTGCCTAAACTTTCCAGGAAGGAACACTTCAGATATTCTAGAACCATCCGCTCCTATTCCTAGCCTCAGTTCTGACACAGTCCCCTATTTTTCTGCTTGTGGATTTGTCTACAACACTTCAGTCAAGAGTGTCGCTGCAGCAAAATCGGGAAATCAGAGCCTCCAGCAGATGGATTATCTTGACCAAGGTTCCTTTGTGCCCCAATTGTGCATCTCACCCAGCCCACCATCCCAATCGATCAGGCACAGTAGACTCCATCCAGCCAGGTGGAAGCGTATGGCCCCAGGTCTCCAGGAACAAGACTTACCTGTTCTCTTCCCCTGAATCTCTGTTCTCTTCCCTGCCAACTCCCCTCTGTGTCCAAACTGGGATCACTGTCTAAGAAATCAGCAGCCAAGTCCTTCCTGGAATAAAAGTACTTAAGGGAAATCAACTGTTGTGTTTTTCTCTTGAAAATGATTGAGATGAAAAATGAAAGCTAGAGATCTTTATGTAATGATATTTTAAAGTTATTAACAACTTCATTAGAATACTTACTAGGAATATTAAGAGATATTAAAATATATTGTTGAACATCTGTCCCTTAAGGTCTAATTTATAAATAATTGTCTATTCAGTTAATCAGCAATTTTGGGTAAAAATGATAGATAACCTCACCCATCTAAGGATGTTTCATCTAAGAAAACAATGACAATTGCAAAACGTTAAATTTAGTATAAATTATCCAAACTTCAAATGGAAAAACTAAAGTATAGTACAAAAATATGGTAACTAAATATAATTTCAAAATCATTATGTTATACGGAAGTTATAATTTAAAAGAAAGAACAACACAATTAAGATGTGGTTTTTTTTTTGGCCAAAAATGCCTTAATTACATAAAATTCAGAATTTGATTTTTACAAAAGTGTGCTAAAATGTATACAATTTAAATCACACATGGTGATAAGGGAAAGGTTGGAATCAGAATTATTCTCAGCCAAAATGGTGAGGAGCTACCTTGGCAGCCACTCCCAGTTCTTCTTCAGAGTATCATCACTGAAGAGTACGAATGAATGCATGGGGAGAGGAAGATCAATTTGGGAGTCTGAAGTACTAAATAAGGGAAAGAGAGAAATATTACTCTGGACAGAATTGTCTGCATTTAGAGATTTAAAAAGAAATGATGAGATAAGGTGAGAGAAAAATCAGCATACCCAGTCTGTGTCCTTCCCCATGAGACACACAGAGAATGGCTGCCTAAACCATGCCCTGAGCCTATATGGATTTCTTGAGTGTTTCCTTATCATTACAGTTCTCGCCATGCTTCAGAGAACTTTGGCTCATTTTGGATGGTTCCAATGTAATCAGCACTTTAGAAAACTTACCTTGAAAAACACATCTTTGGATGTGACCATTATAATTCCCCAGCCCTACAACACTTTAGACATGTTTCTTCCTGTCCCTAGGCCTCTGGTCTCCCTATCACCTCATCCTTACATAATCCAACTGAACTAACACCAGGGGTCTTTACGCTCCCTTTTCTGGAACACTTTTAAAAACTTCTAATTGTAAACTCTTTCTTTTCTTTGCCCCTTCCATGTGAAATTTATTTTATGTCATGAGCAGACATGGAGGAGACTCTCCAAGCCATAAGGCCCTCTGTGTTAGGCCATGCTGAGGCTCAAAGGAACGAAAGGAAGTCAGTATGGCTGCCAAACAAAGATCCCAAGAGTCCAGCTAGAGTCCTGAATGCAAGGGTTTATTGAGCATTTATCACATTATAGCAAGAGAGAGGGGAGCTCACCCGCAGCATAAGCTGGAAGGTAGAGGAGGTGCCAAGAGTGCAGGATCTTTCTTCCACCTGCCCAACATGCCCTGAGAAGTGGAGTGGGAGGGGCGGGGGGTGCCAGGCAACCCTGGGACTGAGGATGACCCAGAGACCAGACTGGTATTAGGGTGTTCAGGACTGGCAGAGTGAAGGTCACAGACAGTTGCAGAGCTCGAGCAAAGAGCAATTCCTGGGGCAGAGCCCACAAACATTGAGTCAAAGGACCAAGCCCGAGTGGTAGAGGTTTTGCCTTGTATGCCATGGGGAGTGTGATACAAACAACATATGCTAATCTTACCGTGGTGCAAATCTTGTGGTGGTAAAAAGATATTTTTCTTTGTGGTAAAAAAATATTTTTTAGAAAATAAATTTTTATAAGTTTCTCAGAAAGGGTTCACAAGTTTTTTTTTTTGGCATGAAGGCCAAAGATTTATTACACTATATAGTTACCACACAAGTTATCACACAGGCACACCCATCATATGATCATCACAAGCTAGTTTAGACTCAGAAAGTAAGTTTGAAACTAGACAGAAGCATAAGATGGCTTCATTCCTGCTCACATCACTTTAGAAGCTTCTTTTAAGAGAGGCTCTGTAACCCAGAAGTGTCTTTCTCAAAGACGAATAAACCACTTCTTCGAAATGTCATCCCCAGCAAAGATGGCTGCCCAACAAAATGGCTGCCCCTCTTCCCAGTCTGTATAAAATACTGCATAGGTGTGTGCCTTGCTCTAAATTGCAACCCTCTTTCCTGTCCTGGGTATAGGAGGAAGATTAGGTAAGGCAGTTAATAAGCACAACAGACCCATGGTCTTCCCACACCAGAATTTAAAAGCCCTCAAGTCTTGTTTCAGTGGAATTGAGGTCAGATGTTCTATTGCAACAGGCTTGAATCATGTCGTCCTTTCCTGTTCAATTTAATCTAGTGCAATTTCTATTTTGACAAGTAATGTTGTGGAAAAAACAGATTCAGTTTTACTATTTCCAAAGGTTATTGTTTGTTGCATTCAAGGGTGGAGAGTTTGATCACCAAATGCTTAAAGATCTAGTTTAGTAAGAACTTGCAGCTGAGGCAGATAATTATAGTAGTCCATTATGTTTTGTATAATAAATATAAGACAGGAAGTTAGGCAGTTTGGAGTCTTAGGTTCTCTGAAATTAAATGAGCAAGGGAAATTATCTAAATTTTAGGTAGTTTTCTCATTTATAAAATGAGGAGTTTTGACAAATTCATGTCTACCTCTAATGCTCTACAATTATTTGATTATATTTTTATCTTAAGGATTTGGTTTAATCCTAATTAAGGAACAGTTTCCTTCTCATAACCTGCCTGATACAATCATTACCCACATGGTCTGTTCAGTTGTTCACATAGACTCATCATGAAGTGAAGAAATGTGCGCATTTAAATGAACACATCCACCATTAGTAGCTAATTAACTATCTTTAACGTGACATTTCTAAATGAATAACAAAAGTGATGCCAAGGAATACAGTTACCTCACCAGCACTCCAGCTATTGATTTTAATCTTAGCTGTGCTGCAATCGAATATTCCAATAATTTATCTTTTCTTAGTTGTAATTAATTAATGACTATAGAAAAATGAGTAACCTAGAGAGAACATGATGTGACCTCCTAATATCTCTAGTCCATGTTGAATGTCCATTTTCTATAAACTCCTTCTGAAATGTTTCTCAGTGTTCTTTTATTATCACATAGTCTCATAACTAGTATTTACAGGCCAATATTCCACAGGGAAGAAAAACTGTTTTCCTTTAAATGTTCACACCATGGCTAAATTATTTCTAATAAGAAATGCAAGGCTGACCAGGTTTGTGGGGACAGGAAGTTGTTTTGTCATATTTGTTGGTATTTTCATATTGTGAGATTTGGTAACCCAGGGAGATGACATGTGGCAATGCTTCTGGTTCCTGTTTATAGTGATAAAGACACTTTATTAATAAGTGAACAGCATTCTAGGAGAGATGACATTTGGTTCCTACTTACAGCAGTCAAGGCACCTTATTAATAAGTGAACAATATTCTGGAAGAGATGACATTTAAATGCCTCAGATCTTTGAAACCTAGTACTAGTGAAGATTTCATAATTAGTCTAGTCCAATGATCTTCTTTTATCAAAGAGGATATTGAGAAATTTAATTCATTGGTATCATTTAATTTATACTTACACCATTTGAATTCCTTTTGGGTACTGTTTAAATGCATTATTGGTGCCTTGATTGTGAATGATTGATTCAACATGACAGGAAATCTCCAGTGGAGAAAAAGATTTTTGACTTTAGCTACCCACATATCCTTGCCTTTTCAAAAGCTCTCCATTAATAGCCTGTCTTTCTTCCAAATCTTGAAGTTTACATTTGGTGTTGTACAAAATTAGGTTAATCATAATTCTTAGTTTGTAACTCATTAATATTATTATTCATTGAAAAGAGTCATTTAAAATATTTTATTTGTTTTAATAATGTAATAAACATTCTTAAATCCACCACCAAAAAGGAAAATGACATTATCTCAATATATGGTCTTCCTCCTTTCCAAACTGGCTCTCCTCAAGCTAAATATACTAAATCTTGTGTGATGCCTTTCTTCCCCTCCCTTATACCCTTCCTTTTTTCCTCTTTCCCATAATATAGTCATTAATATACTTTTTAACATGCTACCATCTCTAGCTAATTTGCCTTTATTTTCTAACAGCTCGATTAAGATATAGTTCATCTACTTAAAGTATACCACACAATGAATTTTGTTGTATGCACAGAGTTGTACATCATGGCTACAGTTAATTTTGGAATGTTTTGTTATCCCAAAAGGAAATCTGAGCACATTAGTTATCATGTCCTAATCTCCTCATTTTTTTACACTACATCTCTGTTCCCAGCCTCTGGCAACCAGTAGTCTACTTCCTGTCTCTACAGATTTGCTTTCTCTGCATATTTCATATTAATGGAATCATGTATTATGTAGTTGGTTTTTTGTGTATGGCTTCTTTTACTTAGTTGACATCATATTTTCATGATTAATCCATGCTTTAACACCCATCAGTACTTTTTTCCATTTTGTAACTGAGTAATATTCCACTATATGCATATGTCATTATCATGCATCAGTTGATAGACATTTGGACTTTAACCATATTGAGTATATTAATGCAGCTATGAAAATATATGTACAGGTTTTTGTGTGGATTTGTTTCTGTTTCTCTTTGGTATACATCTAGAAGTGGAATCGCTGTACCACATGCTAAGTGCTTAATGGTTTGAGTCTGTGTTCCAGAAAAAATATACCTTTTTACATTTCCACCAGAAGTGCCTGATGGTTTCAATTCCTCTACATCCTCACCAGCACACAAATGTATCTTCTTACTAAAGCCATCCAATTGGTAAAGTTTTGAGTGGCATTTGTTTGATGGCTAATAATATGGAGAATCTTTTCATGACCTAATTTAATTTATTCTAAATCCAGTCCTCATCTTTACTCAACAATTTTATCTGTTAAAGGACTGATAAACCTATATAACCTCTGTTGTAAAATCTAATGTTCACTCCTTTCAGTTCAT